TGAATGTAACAGTACACACACACACACACACATATACACGGAAGGATCAAAATATCAAAAATCAATCAGTGTAAGTCACTGAGGAGGAAAAAGCCCTTTCTATAATTATGTCAGTTGATGCAGAAAAAGCATTTGGCAAAATCCAATCTCTCTATTCCTGGTTAAAAAGTCTCGCCAACTAGGAATAGAAGGGAAATTTCTAAACTCTAGAAAGAACATCTGCAAAAGGTAAATGTCTACAAAAAGCTGATAGAACTAACAAGTCAGTTCAACAAGCTTGCAGGATATGAGGTAAATATATGGAAGTCTATGGCTGGCAACAATTGGAAATTGGAATAAAAATATGCCGCTTACCATAACAGCAACAATATTAAACACTTAGGAATAAATCTGACAAAAGATGTGTGATATCTTACACTGAGATCTATAAAATGTTGCTGAGAACATTCATTGTTTTTTCCACAAATTGATTTACAGATTGCAGTCTCAACCAAAACCCCAGCAGGTTTTGTTGTTGTTGTTGTTTTGTAGAAATTTACAAGTAGATTCTAAAACTCTTAAGGAGACTTAAAGGACCTAGAATAGCCAAAACAATATATTTTTTTAAAAGATCAACAAAGGTGGCACACTAACATTACCTGATTTTAGGACTTGTAAACCTATACTTAGAAGACAGTCTGGTATTGCCAGAAAGCCAAACAAATAGATCAGGAATTCAGCCATTCCAATCTTAGGTGTTTACCCAAAAGAAATGGAAGCATGTCCCATACAAAGAGTTTTATATGGATATTTTAAGCAGCTTTGTTTATAATAGCCCCATACTGAAAACAACCCAAATTTCCATCAACAGGTGAATGGATAAACAAACTGTGGTACTCCGATATAACAAAATGCTACTCCGCAATAAAAAAAAGAAATGAGCTATTAATAAATCCAACAATGTGGCTGAATCTCAAAGTAGTTATGTTGAATGAAAGAAACTAAAAAAGTAGAAGACTTCTTAACAGAACACTCTCTTGGGTTTTCCCCCCTTCTCATTGGTTTCTCCATTTCAGTTTCCTTTGCTGGCCCCAGTGCTTCTCCCAGACCGTGCTTGCTAGGGGGCCTCTGGCCTTGGTCTTCAGCCTTCTTTTCCTCTCTGTTTACACTTTCCTCCAAGCTTATCTCATCGAGCCTTGTGATTCAAAGCCTTGCCACCTGCACAGTCCAATAGAATTTTCTGAAATGAGGGAAATATTCTATGGCCCCATGTCTGCTATGGTGGCCACTAGCCACGTGTGGCTACTGACTATTTGAAATGTGACTAGTATGAGTAAGGAGTTGAATTTTAAATTGTATTTATTTTAATTAATTTACATTTAAATAGTCACACTATATCATTTATATTATAGAATATAGAAATATATATTACATATATATGGTTGGGGGCTACTGCATCTCTTAGCCTTGCTTGGTCTAGATCACTGTATTTACAAACTATGGGTGGTAACCCATGAGCTGACCTTGACCTTTAGTTTTTTTCAAAGTAAAATATCAAGGGATACCATATATAGTAAGAGTTATATTTTTTTTCAAGAAACTTTTGTTTCCGTCTTTTCTCTCTGTGAGCTAGGTTGCTGTAACTATGTATAGATCGCATGTAGTTTTTTAGGAGCTTTGTTTTTTAGTGGAAAGCCGCTGATTTAGGCGCTAGAGATGCCTAGGTTTATGACCTCAGCCATGAGCTAAGGCGCCAAGTCATGTTCAATTGTCTACCCGAGATCTCCCCAGTTTGTAAACCTGTTTTGTCTCCCCCTCTGGTTTTTCCTCATCTCAGCATAATGGTGACCTGAATCCCCCTTTTTCCTGTCCCCTCTTCCCGTTTTACTGGAGGCCTCCATTCAGTCTAGCAACACAGTCTAGTGGCTCTGCCCCTGAAACAGATCCCACTTAATTTCCATTTTGATTTCCCTCACCTTTAAGGCCGTGCATCCCTTGCCTGGGTCCCTGCCACAGCCCCAAACTGGCCGTTCTTTCATTCTTGTCTTTATACATTCTCCACATGGCAGTCAAAGGGGGCTTTGGAGAAGCCAAAATCAGATGATGTTGCTTCCCTCCTTGAAACCCTCCGGTGGCTTTCCATTGCGTTAAGAATACTCCCTCCGCGGCCACATTTCTGTGGCCAGCAAGGCCCTGGAAGCTGACCCTGGCACCCCCAGCATGGCTCCCGCCCCACTCGGCCTTTCTGTGCCAGGGACACCCACTTCCTTGCTTGTTTCTCTGCAGGGCCTTTGCACATGTGCTGTGACCCAGACCCCCAGACTTTCTCCGAGCTGGCCTCTCTTTGTTAATACAGGTCTCACATCAGATGTCTTTTCCTCAAAGGGGCAGCCTTTCTCTGACTCAATTGGTGTCCGCAACCCAAGGCTGAGTGATCTGTTTTGGAAGTAAATGAACTATATTGTTATTTACATAGAGAATTTTTGAGTAATAGGAAAAAGAGCCATCAAAGTATTTTTGATTAGAGATTCTTGAATCTTCTTTGAGAATCATCTGTAATCATTAAAATCCTTCTGTGCAAGTTTCTATATGGGGAATAAGTATTGGTCTTGCTATTTTTTTCAACTTAGCGGAGTACCTCATTATGCAAATTTAATGAACACTTTAAAATATGTGTAATGCAGTATATTAACTTATAGACATAAATTAGTTAATGTAAAATTTCAGGAGTTTCATTGATGTTAATTTATTATAAATACAAGTTATTTATTGAACTTTTTAGTCACTGAGATTAATGCACATCATGATTGATTTTTTGAGATAATTTGAATTTAAATTACCAAATTACTTTTGTCTTGAAGAAGAAAGGTCTGTAGTTTAGAGTATATTATTCCTTATGATGTTTAATCTTTATTTTTATAATGATCTTTATGAAAAATATAGAAATAGTGCAGAAGGATTACTAGTTATTAACTAAGTGATAGGATTTATGATTCTGACCTTTGCTTAAAAAAAAAAAAAGGAGATCTACACTCAAATACTGGAACTTTCTACAGGAGTCAGTAGGTTCAGTAATAGGTTCCAAAACAATGAAACTGAAACTATATGTTTCACATTATATTGTCAAAACCACATAGCAAGAGGTATAGAAATAGGAAATGCATTTAACTTTACAAAATGAAAACTGAATATAAGTGTGAAAATTTGGCATTTTATTTTATCCTAGAAAATTCTTTAAATTAGATAAAATAGTGTTCAGAAAGTTAAAACAGGGCCTCATTTTATTTCATATGTGTTCCATTCTGCCCAAGGTCAGAAATGGTGGTGATGAAAATGTTTTTGTCCTCTGACGCCTTTCTGGATATGCTCTCCAAAGAGAATAATCAAAATTGCAGATTTATGCACAGAGATGTTAATTGTGGCATCGTTTCTAATTCTGAAAAGTCCGGAACCAACCACATATCCAATAATGGAGGAGTTAAGCAGATTGTAGAATATCTGTATAATAAAGGATCGTATAACCATTGAAGTTAATTTTTAGGAAGGCTATTTAGGGTTGTGGGAAAAAGCTTCTGACATAATGCTAAGTTAAAGAAAAGGACGTATTTATTCAGTGTGATCTTAATTAGGTAAAAAACCATTTTCATAGTAGAAAATACATTAGTGGTTCATTCTGAGGGGTAATTGTTGCTGGCATTTTCTAAGTTGTCTAGAAAAAGCGTATATTACTTTGTAATAGCAAAAACATTACAAAAAAATTTGGGTGGCTAACAAAATACTAAATGTTTAAGCTTATTGTGTTTTAGAGCTGGAGAGTAGTTGCGGGGATCACTTGGCTCGTGACCAAGGGCTGTGATGGGCAGGGGAGATTGAGAGTGGTTTCTCAGAAGGCCAAATGGAGAGGAAGATTTCTTAGTGTTTTTGCTCTCGGTAAATTCCTGACATACCCACTGACTGCCACTTGCTGATGAGAGTCTGGCTGTCCACTTTGTGACAAATATAAAAGAGGAAGACAAAGTAATTATTATCTAATAAGTGTGACTGTTTAGGTAGCCAATATTTTAAAACAGAAGACAACAATGAAAGATTCCTAACTGGTATAACGTGGCAACTATTCTAGATTGTTCTTTAGTCTTTGGGTGTTCATCTATGACTAGGACGTGAAATCATTTTAGTAGATCTCCCTCTGCATTACCCTTTAAATGAAATTAGAATAGAAAATAGAGGGTGTATTCTATATATTAAGTATTCATTCTTTAGATTTTTATTTCAGGTATGTGTTTGAATGTACTGAATGGTAAATGTAAAATGTGGTTGGCTTTTTTAAAAAACTGATTTGCCGTCAAAAAAAGTCAAAAGACCCTTTTGAGGTCTAGATCAGTGGTTCTCAGAATGATCCTGGAGCCAGCAGCAGGTATCACCTGGGAACTGGTCAGAGGGGCACATTCTCAGGCCCCACCCCAGAACTTCTGAATCAGAAATTCTTGGGCCCAGCACTCTGTGGTTTCCTAAGTCCCCCTGGTGATTCTGATGAGGACTTACATTTGAGAACCACTGGTCAAGCCTTGCTGTTCCAGGCATGGTCCAGAGACTAACACGGGCATCACCTCGTGGCCAGTTTGAAATGCAGAATTTCTGGCCCCAACCTGGGCCTACTAAATCAGAATCCCCAAGCTCCCTGGGTGATGTGTATGCTCATATAAAAGGTTTATTAAAGGTTGAGAAGGCTGATCTAAACCACATGTGCCTTCAGAGGCCATATAGTTCATGTCACTGAATGAAGGCAGCCTATGTTTCTCCCCCAAAGAGAGCAGCAGTGAGAAGGATTGACTGTGATGTGGGGTTTAAGCACCCTTCATTTGTTTAAAAATGTCCTCTATTGAAGCCACCGGGGTTGACACCTCCAACCAAACTCATCAACTCAAGATAACTGTAATTGACCTTAATAACTTCAAGCAGATTTTAATCCCCAACTTTAGTAGAGTGAGCCTGTCATATTAACTTCTTCTGATCTCTTCTAGGAATTTATCCAGGAGCTGCTCTCTCGGATAAGAGGCATGAGGAAACTGAGCCCTCCGCAGAAGAAGACTGTGTAATTCTGGCACAGGATGGAACTCTCCCAGAGACGAAGAAGGGTCCTGGGATTTGGGCTTCATGAAGACATTTATTAAAGCATAGTTGCCCTTATGAGAAACTTTTTTTGGGGGGGGTTGTCTATTAGACATTTATTCAAGAGTGTTCCTTTTTTGTTTTGGGAGTTTTTGTTAGTGTAATATTTTAAGAGCAAGAACATCACGACTCTGGTTTCAGCCCAACCAGGGGTTATCAAACCAGGCAGACATGCAGGAATGGGCTGATCCGGGCAGCATTTTCTTTGAGAAATTGCAGGTTTAGGACCTAACTATACAGGGTTGATGGTTTTCTTACAACTAGTTTGGTAATACTTTTTCTTAAGTTGTACGACTGTCTCAGATGTCGAATTTCTCGTACATGTATATATCTACACACGACCAAGTTAAAATGTAGATGTGAGTTTTATTTCACATTGATGGAATAAACTTGTGGTTGTCCTTTAATTGGAGGTCACAGCACATGGGTTTTCAAGAGGCCACTAGATATTCTTCATGTCATGTGACTGCTGCTGACCTTCAGCGTTCACTTTATGCACCAAAGTGAAAGAATTTAGTGTATCCGTTATTTTAATGAGCTACGCCACAAAAAGTTGAGTTGGTCAAGGGCTTAATTCATGGACTTTATATTATTTCATTAATTGGGATGCTTTGCCAGGTCATGTACTTCTTGCCTCGTTCGTGGTATTTTAAAGTTTTATGAACCCTTCATTTGAAGAACTATTTAGATTTCTAGAGAAATGCCCATGCCAAGTGGTATTTTGCAATGGAAAAAGGAAGCACTGTGTAGCAATTAACTCTCTGCTTTCAACCAAATACTGTGTATTCTTCTCTCTCCATGAAAGCAGGTCGGAAGGAAGTTAGCAAATCACGTATCTTCCTCCTTCGATGTAGATCTGGTCACTTCCGTGCCTGGGCAGCATTAGACCAGAGTGGGTGAACTGAGGGTTGAAGACTGTAGAGGTGAGAAAGGCTCACCTGCTTTCAAGAAAGCTGATACAGGAGCATTGGCCGCTTTGGAACGGTGGCGGAGATTGCATTTCTGGCTCCTCTCTATGGCATGTGCTGAGGATTCTGGCTCTTGGCCCCAATTACGCACCCCGGTGTCCTTGCTTGGAGCTAGGCGTGGGGCGCCTGCCCCGCGCCTCCCGGTGATATGTCAGCTCCTTGGAGAAGGATCAAAATTCAGACGGATGTGGGCTGGGTAAAAGGTCAGAGTAGAAACTCTTCCTTTCCCCAAGGAGGCCTCCACCGCCTCCCCACAGAAACCCCACCTACCGTAAGGCGTCTCTAGGCGGCCCTGTCAGAGGACAGGAGTCAGACATTTTATATCAAGGGTGCTCTGAACATATTTTATTTTTTAAAAGAACTATGTTTGTGAATTTTATGTATACTGGCAAGCTTTTGAAAATGTATTTAATTTTGTAATGTTTACCAATGATTTATTTACAAGCTATACTCAAATAAATGGAGCTGCTTACAACTCTGCTCACACCTTTGCACTGCAAGACATGTTCAAAGGATAATTTTACTTTGTGAGATGTTCCGCAGACAGGGGTACCAATCTCTTATATCTAGCTTTTCATTTCCCAGGTATTTTCAGGCGTTTGATCCTGGTTCTGTCCTGATGAGAGCAGAGTTGCTGGGACACATTCCTGGGTTGGGAAGGAAACCGAGAATGAGCTCTGTGTATTTGGTCCTGCCTGGCCATGTGCTCTTGGGCCTCTCTCTGGCCATGTGCTTTGCATTTAATTAAAACTCCCTTTTACCCATCTGATAGAAATTCTCAAGAAAATTTCAAATTAATCAGATATTCCAATTATGCGAGAATGCCATGCACCCTATAAACACACAAAAAATACTGAATTTGCAGGATTTCCATTAGGCCTGACCAGCTCAGGTTATGGGCTGATGAAGCAAGAGGCCCTTTGATCCGGCCACATAACACACTCTCTTCCTTCCCTCACCAAGGGCCTGGCATCACCTGACTCCCCTGAGTGGGATCTCCTCCTTGATTCCCCATCTCTACCCTCAACACACCCTCAATCACCAGGCTCTGTTTCCTCTGCTAATACATCACATATCTATCCCTTGTTAAATCTTGCCTTGATTTCTGCAGCCATCTTGGGATTGGCTTCCCCATGTCCAGTCTTACCTACCTCTGATCTGTTCTCCACCCAGTAGCTGGAATAATCTCTCTGAAAGACAGCTGAGATCACTCCATCCCCTACTTAAAACCCAAACTCCTTACAAGGAATTAGTCCCTGCTTTTCCCGCCTCGTCTTTTGGCCTTCCCCTAACATCCAGTCCTACTGAATAACTAGGGTTTCTGGAACATAGATATTTTCTCCTCTGAGGCTTTGCAAAAACTGTTGCCTCAGCCTGGAATACCCTCACCATGCACAGGCTCTATCTGGAAAGCTGGTCTACAGCCCTTCCTAAGTATGTCCAGAGCTTCTAGCATTTACCCCGTCACAGCAGGTACCCGCCATATTATTACTGTCTATTCACCTGTTTGTCTCTTCTTTTAGACTCTAGGGTACTCGAGATTGGGACCGAGTCCTATAAATCAGGCACCTACTCCTGAGCCTGGCCCATCAAAGGAATCAATACATGTTTGCCAACTGAATAAATATGATAAAGATTCTTCAGGAAAACTCAACTGTTTCCTTTCTGGCGGGGATAGTGGTTCTTAGGCCTGAAGGTGCATTTGTATCACCTAGGAAGCTTTAAACACAAGTCCTGGCCAATTTAATCAGAATTTGGAAGAGCAGACCTTAGGCATTTTTTTTCACACTCCCAGACTGAGCACCAACTGGGCCATTGGATCATTCTCGCGGAGCCTGGCACACAAGTCTGACCTCACTGACCTCAGCTCACCATGTGGATGCTGTCACAGCAGGTGGAAACTGTGGCATTGACACATTGACTCTTTGGCATTTCCTCTTCTGCTGGAGAGGAGTTACGGTCCAGCACTAGGGGAATGACTCCAAAGTACCCAACTTCTAGTTCGGTGCTCCACTTGAGCATTGAGACATCGAAGTTTAAACTTGATCCATTTATAACAACTGTAATAATAGTCCCCACTTAGGTATCACTGGGCTGAATGCTTACCTGCCTGATCTCATTTAATCCTGACATGAATCTTAGGAGGTAGATTGCATTATCCTCATTGTATAGAAGAGAAAATAAACTCAGACACGGTCCCAGAGCTGATATTCAAACCCAGTGCTGCTGTCTGACTCTAAGCCCTTTGACCATTAGGTTTTCCTACCCCTCAGAAGGGGTTGCTCTCAGTTCCCCCCACAGGAATGAAAGCCAGGAGCTGCTTCGAAAGTGAGCTGAGCCCCTGAGCTGAGAGGTGGGGCGTGGGAGGCTCTGTGGTTGGAGCGGGTCCTCGGCTCCCTATGGGTTCTCCCTCACTCCTGATAACAGGGGATCCCAGGCTTTGTGCTCCTGCCCACTCCCCCCCCACCCCGCATTTCCAGGCTCTTCTTGCCTTCTCCCCTGACGAAAAGCTCCTGGACTTGGCCTCGGAGCCTCAGCATGGAGTACCTCCCACCAGTTTCCAGAGGAGGCAAAACTGGGAGGAAGAACAGCTCAAGGAAAGTGTTTCTCAATTCCTGTAACACAGAGATACCTAATTTTCATTTACTACCTAAAATCCCCATAAAAAATGGTGTGCTGTGCAGAATCAGTTATCAACAATAGATGCGTACATGATTATGTTGGCTCTTTCCAAGAAGACACAGTGGTTTGGGAACATGAGCTGTTTGGGAGCCCTGGCTACCATGTCCTCAATGGACACTGACCGAAGGGGCCACTGCCGAGAGCAGCCAGTCTGGCCCAGGCACTTGGCCCACCACTCGGAGAAGGAGGTGGGATAACATCTGGGAGATGTGCCCTTTCTGCCTCATGGTGCAGGCAAGGCTGCCAGAGGGGGCCAGAAATGTGCTCCATGGCTTAGTTCTGTGGTGGGCCCTGCTGCTGCCCAGCCTGCTGGGATCTGCCACTTTCGGCTAGTCTTCCAGTATTGCTCAGCCGGACTCCCGGGCCCTGAGCCAGCCTTTCATGTGACAGCTTGCGGAAAGGGAGGCCCCACAGCTGACGGACACATCTCTATCCTCACATCATTTTTGCTTCTGAGTCAAAGATCCTAGGGATTCCGTCCGCTTCTCAGGAACCTTCTCTGCGAGAGGGAGAGCCTCCTCCCAACCCCACTGTCTCCTCCTTTCCCCCTGTCTTTGGTCACTAGACTCAGGGCCCTCTAATGGCACAAAGGGCCTAAAAAGGCCTGGTGGGAAGTACTTTGGGGTGGGGGGACCCCTGGTCTGCGGTCTAAAAAACCAAAAGAATTCAATGTATTCAGTAACTGGAGCTTTGTGAAAAGCCAGTTTCAAGCTGGACACAGACAGGAATACCAGTAGTCTCCCCCATTGCTTTCCTCTTCTGGAATTTACTTTATGCCTGCAGAGTTTTTACTAAGAGCTAGTGCTATTTCCTTTGGGATTCAGGATATCCCTTACCGTGTGTTTGTAATTTGCCTGTGAAAAATTGGGTGGCTTCTCATAGTCCTGAGTGAGACCTATCCAGACTTCACGGAGTTTCCTTCCACCCTTTTCGGACACAAGTGCCGCAAATGTTTCACTTTCTCAGTGTACTTATGCCATCATGGTATATCTTGGCTGGGATGAATTGTTTTTATAAGACTGGACAATTCACCACTTCTCTTGGCTCCGTGGGTGTTCCCACTACGACAGGGCAGATGAGCATTTCAACAGAATACTGATATTAAAGCAACTACCAATCAGATCCTGGAAATCTGTTTTTCTAGTGCTTTCATTGGATCCATTGGAGAAAGAAGACCAGATTTCTCTGGTACAGCTTTCCTTCATCTTCAGGATTTTCAAGTGACTCTGCAGGATGGCCTTCTTGGGGCTGACCTTGTTCTGGTAGATTCTAGAGTCCTAGCAAGCATATGAGGGTAAAAGAAAATTGCGCTTTTAATGTCATGGCTATGTAGACTTGATCTCATTTATATACATATTTTTAATTCAGTGTGGTTGTTGTTGGGAGACAATTCTACACAGGTCTCTCATGTTTCTGCTGGCTTTAATTAATGTCAGTATTGGAAGATGGAAACACATTTCTCCCTCTAGAGCAAAGAGTAGGCAGGGCCTGAATAATATGAGAGGCACATTATTGCTTGTTGTTTTGAAGTTCCCAAGTTCAACTCCAACAGCAGGTCTGTGACCATCATTTCTCTGTGTATCCCAGTCCGCCCAGTCATTTCTGAAACCAAAAATAGAAAATGAGTTCATGGAGTATCTGGTGCTACCAGATTGGTTTCTGTCAGTTTGCCGGATGATTCATAGAAAGTGTAACCCAACACACCCTTCTGGGTCACAAGTCGCTCGAGCCTAACTGATTTACTATTTGGTTTTTTTGTTGTTAGTAGCAGGAAATGCTCCCTTGCAGCTGATTGTATTCATAAAAGGGGACATTACTGACAAACCCCTTTTCTGAGGATTCATGGATAAGGAGATAAATAAGATAATTTATCTTTAAGAAATATTTTATAGCACTTAGCACAGAGCCTGACTCTTTTTAGCTATAATCCCAACGGGGCGGGGGCGGGGGTGGCAAAATGTACAATCTGTAGTGTAGGCTTGCCTCACTTTAACAGAATGCCCCAAAGCCCTAGAGACCTCCCTCTCTCTGAAATTAGTGATGAGTTAGAAGTTGAACAAAACCTCCTAAACTGTTTGGGGGAAAAAAATGCATAGTAGTTTTGTTTTGTTTTGTTTTCCTTCTGAATCTTATTTTC